CCTATACGTACAAACCTATGATAAAGTTTAATATGTAAATTAGGCAGAGTAAAAGATTAACAACAAACTAATTTAAAAATAGAATAATTATAACAATATGCTGTAATAAAAGTTATATGACTGCAATCTCTCCTCTCTCAAAATGTCTTATTGTGCTATATTCACCTTTTCACTTAAAAGAAGCACTTTTCGGCTTCTCCTGGGCCTACCCGAATCGTCAGCCTCACTCCTCTCGCCCTCTGCGGCCCTTATGAAGAGCCACTTGAGCACAAGCACTTCAGTGCCTTGACATTGACCTGAGAGCCAGCGGTTACCAAGGGACTCCCGGGCGCAGGGCGGCTACAGGGTGGAGACGGCGGCCCAGGGATGACCCACCTCACGAGGGGCCTCGCGAGGGACTGCACCAGGTTTCATCACGCTCCTGAGAACGGCACGCGATTTAAAACTTATGAATTGTTTATTCATGGAATTTTCCCTTTAATATTTTTGGACTGCACTTGACTCCAGGTAACTGAAAACATGGAAAGTGGACCCACATATAAGGGGGCGAGGGGGCTGCTGTATGTACTTTTGTGTGTAGAAAGTACATGGAGAGTGTAACTTTCGTAACCATGAGAACTCTAGCTGGTGGCATTTAAGCACAAAAGTTGGTCGTGCGTTTCCTGGGGTCAAGCAAAATCAGAAACTTCAGTTCTATGCCCCTTGGGATGAAGTGCCTGCCATCTCCCGGGTACCAAATTAAGTCTTTCACATTTTTATTTCAAATACATTACACACTACTCTTTTAAATAGATATCATCTTCCATTTAATCTGTGAGGAAGCTGAGTCTCACTCAGAAGAACTAAATTGCCTAAATTCATATAACCAGAAAATGGTAGAACCAGAATTCAAAGCCAAGAGCCGTCTAAATATGAAATGCATTTTTCTACCTCTCCTATTAGAAACAAAAGAGACAAATTTATTTAATACCCATTTTTCTCATTGTAAATTACAAGTAAAATTTCTCCCATGAAACATTATAAATATAGGTGACTTTCATCCAGATTTGGAAGAGAGGGAGAGAGAAGGAGAGTAAGAGCCTGTTTTCCCCACAGCCAAGCCTTCATAAATAAGAACTGGATATCAAAAGAAACGGCTATGTGCTTTCGAGCTTCCTTGTGGAAAGAATAGTTCCTCCGTTCACACGTTATGATGGTGGTGCCGTATTTGAACATGTGAACTGTTCAACTGAGACCATTTCCCCTACACACAAACAAGGAACTGCTGAGTCCCAGAAAACTCATCTGAGAGACAGCCGGCTCCTTCAGCTCAGCCGTGTCCTGAGTGGCCCCTGAAGAAGGTAGATTCCCCACAAGGTAACTATTTGCTTCGTTATGGGAACAAGCGGGCACAGTGTGCCACCTTGTGAGGGCAAGAGGACGTGTGACTTTCTGAATGACAGCCCGCCCTCAGCTCAAGACGGGAAAGGAAGCTGTAACTCAGGGCCCCAGACTCCAGGGGGAGCCACGTACAATGTATTTGGAAACAAGGCCAACGTTTCTGCCACTAACTACTTAAGTGACCTTGAGCAAGTCACCTAATTCCTCTGGGCCTCATCTGAAAATGACAAAGGTGACCAGGTGACCTATAGGGGCCTATTCCGCTCTAATGATGTGCTGCCACAGGAGAGAAATTGCCTTCTCTCTGATCTTCCAACTGGCCTTCAGGTTCCCAGCCCCCCCCCACACACACACACACTACCACCAAAATTATCTTCTGAAATACAGCTGCGCTCTTATCACACCTGCAGTAGAGCGTATAATACTATCTACAAGTGGGCCGTTCGCCGCCTGCCGTGTTAATTCAATCATTCTTTCAAGAAATACCTTTCCTGTGTCCCCCACTGTGTCCCCATGCCCACTCTATCCCAGGCACGTGAACTCCTTGCTGTTCCCCTAACACACCAAGCTTTTTTGTGCCTTTGTTGCTTTTGCTTATACTGTTCCCTTTGCTAGAAATGTTCTTCCCCATTTCCCTCTAGGGCAAACTCATACTCATCTCAGGGCAAAAGTCACCTGCTTTCTAAAGTCTCCTGGTGAGCTACCAACCTCTGTATCGTCTCAACGTTTCATACCTTGACTACAGTACTCAGCACATTGTTTTGAAATTACATATGTACATGTGTAACAAGATAACACCTGATACACTCAGAGGTGTATTTTTTTCCCCTCTGAAATTACCTTCACCTCTATACTTCTCCCACCACTCAGACAGGGGCTTTTTATATGTATTACCCTCGGGGTAGGGCTATATTGCCAAAATGAACGGAGAAAGGAGGACCCGTTACACAACCTTGAGCACGTAAATGGACTTGGGAGACTCTTAGCAAACGTGAAGGTGACAGCTATGACAGAAAACGTTTTGTAGATTTCAAGAGCCTGAACATTTTAAGTACACACATCGATGTTTATACCATAAGCAAAAGATTCTGAAGCAAAGAGATGGAGAGCCAGCCCAGCCAATTATTCCATCCCCATGCTCACCAACAGACTAGATAAAAGTTCCCCACACTAAAGAGTTAAAAATGGGTGCCAGTCTCCTGCCACCTGTCCATCCTCAAGTCAAGTTGCGGGTGGAGGTGAGAACGTATGTCCCGCTGCCTCTCTGGGGCCTGGAAGGCAGCAGCAACGCAGAGGTCCCCTCACCCCGCGGGGCTGTAGCAGGAAAGGAGAAAGTGTGATGAACCGTATCTGGGCAAGAGCAGGGTAGGAGCACCTCTGAAGGCCATGCAGACCAGGATATGGAAGCTCCTGTGTCCCCAAGAAGCGTTAGAGATGCGTGAAAGACAACCAGTGACCCGGAAGAAGCCCGAACAAGGAAAATGCTAAGCGACCAGCATGGCCCTACTGACCAGGGGCCCTGTGGATGGCCGTTGCCAATACTGCGGCATTTCATAGGCATTTCTTACTTTTCTTTGTATCTCTGGTGGCTAGTGCAGTGGCCAATAAATGTTCCCTTTGTAAAATAATGTAGCTAGGAAGATGCATCAGTAAAGAGTTACCAGGGAACATGGTAACTATACCATTTTCCTTAACGCTCCATGTAAACCCCAAGAACCATTAATAATAACATAACTCTCCAACTCATAGAAAAAGAGAGGAGATTTGTGGTTGCCATGGACGGGGGAGGGAGGAAATGGGGAGATGTTGGACAAAGGGTACAAACTATCAGTTATAAAATGAATTCTAGGGATGTAAGATACAGCATAGTGCTGTATTGCATATTTGAAATTTGCTAAGAGTTCATCTTAAATGTTAACTATGTGAGGGGATGGCGGTGTTAACAACATTATTGTGGTAATCATTTCGCAATATATTCATGTATCAAATCATCATATTATACACCTCAAACTTATACCACGTTATTTATCAATTATATCTCCATAAAGCTGGAAAAAACTAATATCACCAAGCTCACACACAAAATAATAATAATAATAAAATAATTCTAACACTAGTGCTCTGATGAGAAAATATGAAAAACAAATGACAGGTATATTGAGTTTCAAATTTTTTAGGACTACAAGGTCTGTGAGCACAATTCGAGATGAACACCAAAAGTATTTTTAATCATTAATAGTTTATTACATTAGTACTTGATATATTAATTTTTCTCCTAAAATTTTATATAATCAGTACATCATAAATACAGTGACAATTTCCTTGCAAGTATAAATATCATGCCAACCTCATCCATATTTAACAAATGCTTTATAAACATAAGTATTAGATTCTTACCCCCCTCCTTCCCACCCACCCCAGCCTACACAGCAGCTCCCACACTCCTACATTTTGGGTATATTTTCTATGTTTTCATTCACATGGAACAGAGGTCGATTTTACCAACAAAGCTCCCAGGGAATGTCCCCACATCACAGTGCCTGCACGGCTGGTCACCACACGTGACTGCACATGAACATGAACAGGGTGAACCAAGGGCTCCTTCATT